AGGAGGCTCTGAGGCGTCCTGGCCGTCGCCTTCTGATACATCCTGAGCAGTCTCCGGGGTGGTGCTTGCAGCCATGGTTGTACGAGAGGTATTAATGGGAGAGGTGGCGAGTAAGAAGAAGGCTGAGCTGAGAAGAAGCGGGGGTTCTATGGAAGCAAGCGACGGAGAGGAAGATGGGGACGGGCGGACTCTGGACGGACGGTCGCGGGTGGGCGATCAGTGAAAGATCTCGGGGGGAAGCAGTTTATAGCATCATTGTCGGCTGTGTGGCGAAGGAAGAGGGTAGGGAGGGGATGGTGGTGGTGGGTGACAAGGAGGATGAAGACCTGACAACGACCGGACGACGGCACGGTCAAGTCCTCGAAGCACGGGCACAGGACAGATCCAGCCGCCACTCAGAGCAACTGCGTTCCTTTCCGGGACTGATCACGTAAGCCTTCCTCCAATTCCTGCCCAATTTTTCCTTCCCCTTCGCCATGGGTATGCGCAACCCCCGCCAAACCATGCGTCCAGGGCGGATCACCGCGGTCCGGTATCCGGCGACTGCGGACGTCCGGATAACCCCCTCCTCAACAGAAAGTCGTGGCAAATGACCCTTTCCGTCCCTCTGAAATTCGTAGAAAAAATGGGGAGGCTAGCTATATACCATATATAGGGCATAGTAAGTATAGAACACTTCTATGTCAGTATAATATCTCAGTACCTGTATCCTGAGGCTATGCATATGCACGCAAGTAGAGTTTCTACCTCTTCCGAGTCTTCTCGAACCAAGGATATAACGGAAGCGACCTGAGATTACTCTGGCGATGCCGAGGCGCCGCCAGGCAGCCGCGCGAGCCAGCCCTGTCCTATACTAAACTATATACATGCGACGGCATGAGAGCCAGGGCCGCAAAATCGTAAGAGGGGGCATGGGACCAGTGTGGTGGAGTATGCTACAAACTAGTCTGGGGGAGGGTGCGAGCACCTGGGATGAAGAACTGTATGCTCTTGACGGAACTGGGCAGGGGAGGGATGCAGGTCAGGATGTCAGTCCGGGAAGAGGAAGAGCCTGTTGCGCAGGGCAGGGGCGGGGGGCGTCCTCGAAAGTGAACGCCAAGGGGTTATCCTCGTAGAATTTGGGCAGTTCTTCACCCAGGTCACTAGAATTCTTCAAGAACTCGAGGAAGTGGGGTCGTCGCAGGCTCGTGTAGCGAGAGCATGAGTTCAGGATATGTGCGTGCATTTGCAGGACTCTACACTCTGGGCACATGCGGTCTTCACGCGGGAATAACCGGACGTGATACTCGCCCGTGGGGGCATGGTTGGGGATCACCCTGGCAATACGCGTGGCAACGGTGTTTGAGTTGCCGATCTTGCGGTTGCAGAGTAGGATGCCCCCTTTTTCGGTGGGCGGGTGAAGGTGGTGCCCCACAAGGAACTGGTGGCCGCGGTGCAGGGTGTGCCGGGCAAGCAGTCGGCACTCTCGGGATGCCTTCTCGGTGATGAATCAGTGCTGGTATGCCACGGTCGTGACATCTGGCCAGGGTAAGGTGCGGGCACGATGATTCACCCGCTGGTCGACCTCCGAGTCTTTGTTAAGGGGGATGCCTGCGCGGCCAGGCACGCAGTACAGGTAGTTTCTACCTGCTCTCAATCCTCATCCTCGTCTATGCGTTACTGGGAGCGACTTTGGCGAAAGGGACAAAGATGCTCAAGAGGAGAGCAGGGACGGAGGGAGAGTAGACAGAAGCCAGGCGTGAACCGATGGCATGCAGTCGCAGGGGAAACCCGTTAAGAGGATACAAGTGTTTGAAGGATTATGTATCCGGCCTCAAAGAACCCTGCCCATGCTTGCGCAGAGAGGTTGCTCGGCAAGCGATCAATCACATCGTTTCCCATGTCAAATCAGCTCTCAGTACTAGTCCTTCCTTGGCAATCGGGTGAAAAGGAAAGAAATTAGTGGAAGGACAAAAATGAATACGAGAATTTTGAATAAGAGTGGTGGTCGAGTTGAAAAGCAGAAAGACTGAGGAGCACGGGTCTGCATCTGCAAATCACCTAGCGATGTCCTGGAGGGGCCATGTATCTCTTGTGACTGCACACATGCCTAACTAATTTCCATACTGGACTCCGTTTCCTGTGCGCTCTCCATTTGGCCGCACCTCCGGTAGTTCATGCCAAGGTTCATGCCGCTGTTGTACTTCGCTTGGATTTCTTTGGCATAAAGCAGAATGTGTGGGAAGAGAAAAAAGATATTAGCATGAAAGAACTTAGGGTATCGGAAGGAGACAAAATGGGGATGCAAGATGAAAACCGGAGGGGAGGGGAAGCAAGTCCACCGGACTGTGACACAGATGGTCTGTCAAGATTGGCTGTGATGACATCATCCATGAGTCATCCCGGCCGCACTCGCGCGTCGGACCCCCTCATCTTGGCTAACTTTGAAATGCATCTCCTCCTTCATTTCCTCACCTTTCTTGGAGAATAAGAGATTTTGAGAACCAGCATCACTTTCCTAACGAGGTCTACTAAACAGTTTTTTTGTAGAGCGACATTTTTAATTTCGATATAATCTGCCCATCCCCCATGCGAAGCGTCTAGTAGACTTTGTGCGCACCATCACAAGCATAATTTTAGTATGCTTATATTTGGAAAAGGCAATTCTTCTGAATTCCTGAATCTTTTACAGCGAGTCGCCACCCCGAGAAAAGGTTATCCGCGTCGGTAGACCGGCCGTGAGTGCCGTCGGCATTTGCCGCTTGGACACATCACGACGTGATTTGGCTGGGTGTTGCGCATACCCATTCGCCACGCCCCCGCCTCTCGGCCGATGCCCTTCTGCCCCCCGAGCGCACTATCTTCACGCCTCGCCACGGCCAGTGTCCACCATTTTTCCTCCAGCTCTCCTCGTGCTACTGACGTGAGTCTCTTCACGTCACAATGCGCGTTTTTCGCCGTTCGCTTTCAGTCTGTGTTTCGATCTGCCACGCCCTCCCGTGCGGCCGCTTGCTTCAATATCAACACAGCTCGCACCAACCGTCCGGTGAAACCAAGCTCTGAGCGCCACGGTCAGAAGCCGCTGAAACTTTCCTGCTCAGCGGGAACTCAGAGCAATAACATTTGTATTCGGCGTGGTTATCCTACGTCACATGCTTCGCGCCTGTAGCAAGAACGTGTGCAGTCTGCGGAAAGAAGAGAATAGCCCAGACGTCATCGAGAACCAAAGAGCAAGGGCGAGACAACAGCAAAAGTCAGCCTGCAGGAAATTGTAAGTCATCGCAAACAAGTAGTGTAAGCAGCCAAGACCGCAGAAAGAAACAACCAGCTGTTCGTTGACGATAATGCCGACATGGTCGCAGAGGCACAGAAAGACGATTTCCCAAGAAGCTTTGCGAAGCACGCCACAGTGATCCATACAGCTTTCCGATTGATGATGATGAAGAGACAATTCCGAGATAAACATAGATCGAACATAAATTGACCTTCGGGCTCGGAAGGAAAGGACAAGTTCTGAGCCGGTTGATCCGAAGCAACAAGGAATAAGCCGCGGCAAAGCCCGGTGGCAACTGTACAGTTGATGACAAGTGCATCCGAAGGATAGGCTCTGGTCCCGTGACTCTGGACCCGCCCACACAACCCTTGCTCGTCGTCGTCGCTCGTAGCGATTCCTTCAAGCTGTCAAGCCTGTGCGTCCCCGCCGTCGCTATGCTTCCCCCTTGCCCGACGCTAATGGATTTCGTTCATTAGCTCAAGATGGTAAACCTTCGTTCCCAAAAGCGGCTCGCCGCCTCCGTCGCTGGTGTCGGCAAGCGCAAAATCTGGCTTGACCCTAACGAGCAGAGCGAGATTGGCGGCGCCAACTCACGGGCACATATCAAGAAGCTCATAAAGGAGAACCACATCGTCATCAAGCCCACCAACGTCCACTCCCGCCAACGCACGCTCGAGCTCCTCGCCGCCAAACGCAAGGGTCGTCACACCGGCCATGGTAAGCGGAAGGGTACCGCCGACGCCCGCATGCCTTCAAAGGTCCTTTGGATGCGCCGTCAGCGTGTTCTTCGCCGCCTGCTCCGGAAGTACAGGGAAGCGGGCAAGATCGACCGTCATCTGTGCGTCCTCCACCATCTATCATCTGCGCGCTTCTCACGAAGCTCCCGTCCCCTTTCCTATACCTCTGCAGCTATCACTCGCTCTACCAGAAGGCCAAGGGTAACGTCTTCAAGAACAAGCGCGTTTTGATGGAGTACATTCACAAGGCGAAGGCCGAGAAGACCCGCACCAAGGTTCTTTCTGACCAGATGGAGGCCCGCCGCGTCAAGAACAAGGTGCGTAGCTACAGTGTCTCTCAATCCTCTTCTTATGCTGCTTTATAGGCTGCTCGGGAACGTCGCGCAGCCCGCGTTGCAGAGAAGCGTCAGGGCATTTGGGCAGTTGAGCACGAGGAGGCGAAGGAGTAAGCGCGTTGATATCTCCCCGCTCTTCACCTTCATTGTTCTCGCATCGTTACTCCCTCTCGATCGTTCTCCATCCCTCCATTTCCCTGTATCCTATGCTATGCTGCATGCCATGCCCACCACAACACGCCTCACGACAAAGAAAGTCGTCAGGCTCGCATGTATTCATCGTGTGTCATCATCTGTATTGGTTATGACTCCGAGTCCCGAGGCCGAGTGCCAGCGTTAGATGAATCGTTGGGGTTCGACAAACTTCATGGAGAAGTCGTAATCTTTTAGCAATCGCTGTCGCTTGAATGACCACCGAGAAGAAACAGGGAAATGGAAGACATGCCTGAACAATGACTGGTAGCGATCTCCCCATCCATTCAGATCTGCCATCATTTTGAAAACGTCTAGTCTTGCCAGATGGTACACCACCGATATCCCCGCGTCTTTACAGCCTCATTTCATCGCGGGCGCGAGGTTGAGATGAATATTGTAGTGTCTTGAGCATAGCTATGTCAGGCATCGGGTATCTAGTAGTAGTCAGGTCAGAATGAGTCTTGCCAAGCCCTCTGTCAAGGCTCAATGGTCTAGTAGTATGATTCCTGCTTCGGGTTTATCCCTCACCGTCATGGTGATCATATGCAGGAGGTCCCGGGTTCAATTCCCGGTTGAGCCCCTTTTTGCGACAGTCAGATCCCCTATGTTATTACAACTGCAACGAGAGACAGCTGGACGGCTTTATTAATATAATCTATCCTGGGCTGGTTAACAAGCGGCTGTCTTTTCGGATCGAATCTCAACTTTTGATTTTTGACCCTCCTTCACAGCACGTCTGCAGTAGCCGATCGTGCGACATACCTCCGGCATTGATTACTTTTCATGGACCCTGGATTACACTTCAATAATATGTGCGCGCGCATAGAGCGTGCTGCTTCGAGACCAATTCCGAAGCATACTCACTCATTTCCCTCGTCCTTCTTGAGGTATGTCCATCATTCCTCGACTGGCATGGTAATGTCGTAGAGATTCCTAAGCCTGTTTCACGGAGTCCTCCTCACCGTACGCGAAGGCTCCCTGGATGCCTCTCATGAGCACGGTTACGCATTCTGTAGGAGCTTTGTGTCTCAGCGCAAGTTATAGAGCGCGATACGGGTCGATACGTTTTGACTACACCTAAGACACCACCACCCACCCTAACCTAGGGTTTTATATTATGCCTCCCCACTAATTGCTGGCGACCCCGACGACTTCCTTGGCCGCCTTCCCCATCCTCCCTTCTTCTTCTCCGGAGCACCACCACCCTCCCCTTTTTGGCTGCCCAACTCAGCCCCCTCCGCCCCACACCTATGGCTGGGAGGCCCTCCTGCCTCGCCATCTCCTCAATGCTGGTCACCTGACTGGCCTACCCACCCGTGCACAGACCCTGTGCCTTCCCCTTCCGTCCTGTCCAATG